TTTGGGACTCTTCTTCAAAAATTTCTGAAACCTGAAACGTCAAGTTTCCTGCTCCTCTGATGCTGCCTGGCCTGCTGTGTTCCTCCAGCTCCACACTGTGTTATCAAGGTTCCTTTGTTTTGATTGGGGATTTATTTATGTTTCTGCCCTTTCAGATGTCGTTGTACATTGCAACCAATGGCAGGGAGAAGAGTTGTTGCAGTCCACCCCAAGGAGCAAAATGATCAAGCTGGGACCTTGCCTGCAGATTCAAATTGCTCAATGTAGGTGATGTGTTAGTAATGAGAAAACAGGGATATTAGCACTTCGGGGCTGTCAAATGCAGCATATTGCACAGCATTTTACCAAAAACTGGAGTATTTTTGCCAGAGAGTCTGGTACTGAGATAGAAAAACTTGAATGATTTATGAGCACCATCTGAACCCAGAGTATCTGCTGCCCCCGCACTGGTGGAGGATGCTGGCATTGTCACCATCATTGATATTGACTTGGAACTGGAAGCCACCTCCAACTCCATCTATATGTGGATGCATGGTACCACTGACAACCAAGGAAACGTTGCCATTCTCATTGCACTTGAAGTTCTGCTCAGTGTGCACTCTGCCACTTCACTCAGCATCCTCAGCTCCCTACTCCCCCATTTACTCCTCCACTCTCCTTCACTCAGCATTCTCAGCTCCCACTAACTCCTCCACTCTCCTTCACTCAGCATCCTCAGCTCACTCATTCATTCCTCTGCTCTCCAGTTTCAGTCAACATCCTCCGCTTCCTGCTCACCTATTCACTCCTCCACTCTCCTTCACTCAACATCCTCAGCTCCCTGCTCACCTATTCACTCCTCCGCTCTCCTTCACTCAGCATCCTCATCTCCCTGCTCACCCATTCACTCCACGACTCTCCTTCACTCAGCACCCCCAGCTCACCCATTCATTCCTCTGCTGTCTGGTTTTACACAGCATCCTCAGCTCCCTGCTCACCCATTCACTCCTCCACTCTCCTTCACCCAGCATCCTCAGCTCCCTGCTCACCCATTCACTCCTCCACTCTCCTTCACCCAGCATCCTCAGCTCCCTGCTCACCCATTCACTTAGCGTCCTCAGCTCCCTGCTCATCCATTAACTCCTCCACTCTCCTTCACTCAGCATCCTCAGCTCCCTGCTCGCCCAATCACTCCTCTGCTTTCCGGTTTCATTCAGCATGCTCAGCTCCCTGCTCGCCCATTCACTTCTCCGCTCTCCGGTTTCACTCAGCTCCCCGCTCGCCCGTTCACTTCTCCGTTGTCTGGTTTCACTCGGCATCCTCAGCTCCCTGCTCGCCTATTCACTCCTCCATTCTCCTTCACTCAGATTCCTCAGCTCCCTGCTCACCCATTAACTCCTCCACTCTCCTTCACTCAGCATGTTCAGCTCCCTGCTCACCCATTCACTCCTCCGCTCTCCAGTTTCACTCAGCATCCTGAGCTCCCTCCTCTCCTTCCCATTCTATTTGACTCCTCCACTCAGCTTCATTCTCCCACTCACCATTTCACTTGATGTCCCAATTCCCTATTCAGTACCCCTCAGCCACCTCACTTACTAAATCCGTGGTTGACTCACTCCTAATCCTCACTGCGTGTCACTACCACCTAACTCTCTCATTGCTTAAAATTAACTGCAAGACAATACTGAATCGAGGATTGGGAACATGAGCATCATGTGTTACAAATGGAGCAGTAAGCAACTCGCAATCCCAGGATTTGAATTAATTTAAAATATTTGAAAAGAACACTGATTTAATATTCTTATTTTTGATGCAGGCACCTTGCTACGGCACTGCTGGCAGTTACATCATATTCAGTGTGGCTGCGTGGGTGTTGTCTGTGCTCCCTGCAGTTGCAATGGCAGCAAATACAGCCTAATAGAAAGGGTAATTGCACCAAGCTGGGTGAAGCTTCCCAGAGTCAGTGCCATTGTCAGTATGACTCAGGCTATTACAATAGTGCCTTGAAAAACTCCATCATTGAATACATTTAAGGCTGCATTTCCGTCTCACAAGAAATCAAGGATTTTAAGGAGCAGATGGGACAGTGGAGTTGAAGTCCGAAGATCACCTGTTATCATACTGAATGGTGGTGCAAGCTAGAGAGGCTTATGATCTACCCCTGTTTCTATTTCTGTAATGCTATCTAATACTAATAATGAAACCTTACAGTCCTGCCTATAACCTTGATGTCAATCCAATAATTTGTGATTTAGTCTGTTGAATTCCTGGTGGATTAATCCTTTTTACAGGTAATGTTTTGGCAAGGGTAAGAACGTGAAAATTAAGGATCAATAAATGTAATTGTTATTCAGAGCTAGAGTTCAGGGTGAGTGGCACAAGCTGTTAGCCAGGTTAAGATTCAAGATGAGTTTTAATGTTGAGACTGAGGTTAGAATGAGACCAGATGCTGAGATTGGAAATTAGGGAGAGTCTGGGTGTCAAGATTGCGGTTTAGAACGCATCTGGGGGGTATAGGTTGGGTATAATCTATGGTTTAGGATAAAACTGGGTATTGAGACTGGGATCCATTACTTGTCTGGATGTTAACACTGAGGTTCAGAGCACTCCTGGATATTGAGACAGGAATTCAGGATGGGTCAAGGTATTGAAGGTGGGTTTTCAGCATCTTTCTGGTTGTCGAGACTAGGGTTCAGGCAGTCTTAAAATTGTGATCATGATTCGGGCGCACAGATGTAATTGTTTATTGAGATTCTGAATCAAATTAAAATTTGGTCAGGTTATCCTCATACGTTGCTGTTGAAGGGACTGGTTGAGTGATGTCATCCAAATTAAAAACACTGGATTGAGTTACACAATCCAGAAGTCATTTGAAAACTCCCAATGTCTGTTAGCAAAATCGGGCTTGTAACGTTCAACAGAAGCCCTGTTCTGTCAGTTTGACCCCTAATCCTTGTAATATGATATGACTGTCTCCCATCAATCCTAGTACTAGTGGTTCAAGATTGGTGTCAGTTTAATTGTGAAGCTTTATCATGTTAATTTTGTGTGTTAGATATTTATGTATGAGCTAACTTTTCCTAATGTTTTATCTCTAAAGGGTCCCAAACTGTGAACACAGGGATATTGAAGGAGCTCATAGCATATATTTCAGCTCAGCACTCCCACCTTTTGATTGTGGAACCCACAACCTATCAGTGCCTAGGGCCCATGCAATATGTGAACATTAATGAACTGCAACCAGGCATGGTAGTACACGCACGACTCAAAGTTGTCCTCATCACTGTGATGTCAGGTCTGTGCCCTCTAATTTTTCCCACTTCTTTTTCTGATGTTAGCTTCCTTTCTCTCCTGATGGAGCAAGAGGTCCACATTCTACAGACACTTCTGCCTCCTACCGTAGAACCTAACTCAAAGCAACTATGACTTATGCATAAGCACTAGCGAGTTTAGCAAGATGTTTAACTGTGGATAGCATTATACATTGTCTTCTCCAAACAGCACTAAGCGGTGTAAATTCAGGTACTTCAACCTTCTCAAGCTAATTCTAATCTAAGAGGCAACTAATTCAGCATAGACTGGAAATCAATCATTGCTGATTTGTCAAACATTTTAGACATTAGACCTCTGTCCAGGTTTTTGATAATCTATTCTAATAACTCCTTATGTGCCTTGCTGTCAAGATTCTTTTAACATGTCACTCCTGAAAGTTATTTGGAACATTTTGCTACATTAAAAAGGTATAAAATAAATTCATATTGTTGTTGTTGATTTCCTTAACAAGTGATCGGTCTGTTGTTCTATGATATGCCTATCCTATCAATGGTTGGCTACCATGTGATATTCAGAGCAAAAGTTTTTTTTAAAACCCTTATCATGGCAAAGTCAGAAATCACACGACACCAGGTTACAGTCCAACAAGTTTATTAGAAAACAAAAGCTTTTGGAGCCTCAGTCCTGCTTCAGGTGTTAGACTGAGACTTCAAAAGCTTGTGTTTTCAAATAAACCTGTTGGACTGTCACCTAGTGTCATGTGATTTCTGACTTTGTGCACCCCAGTCCAACACCAGCAGTTCCACATCATGGCTATCATGGCGAAGAACATCACTGCTGGAGAATAGAACACTGATAAAGAACAACAACTTACATTTGTATAGCTGTTTTACTTAGTTTATTTTCCTGCACAACAGTGTTATTGGAGAAAATACAACATTTAAGGAAATACCAGCACAGGTGGCAAGACATTTGATCAAAAAGATAGATGTTAAGGAATGACCTAAAGAAAAAACATGAGACTTAAGAGAATTCCAGCTAACTGAAGTCATGGCTTCTAATGGAGTGGTCGAAGGTAATAGGAGATGCACAAGAGACCATTCCCTGATTCTATAGTTAACTCTTAAATCAACATCATTCTGTGACCTTTTAAACAGACTACCAGGTCATTGTCATATTGCTACTAGTGGCTTGCTGTTTTGGTTCCCTACTTACAACAGTGATTACACTTCTAAAGTACTTCATTGACTGTAAAACACTTTGGGGCACCCTGTGGCCACAAAAAGCACTACAAAAATGTAGATGTTTTTCCTTCAAACTTGGAGCTTTGACCAGATAAAAGACTAGTATGCCCTCCAGTTCTGAGAAAAATTGCTTTTTGGTGAAAAACATTTTAATTCAAGAGTTCAAAATTTATTCTGACATTTATTCTACTAAAGCAAGTCTTCATCACATTAGCGACATTTTTAAAAACCAAAAGAACTGCAGATGCTGTAAATCAGGAACAAAAACAAAGTTGCTGGAAAAGCTCAGCAGGTCTGGCAGCATCTGTGGAGGAGAAAACAGAGTTAACGTTTCGGGTCCGGTGACATTTTTAAGTTAAGCCTTGCATAGTTTTCAGTTTTAGATATTGTGTAATCTACATAAAAGAACAAAAGGTCAGAGTGTGGAAAGTTTATGGAGGGCAGGAGCCATGAAAGATTAGGGACATGCAAATAATCTGAATCAGCCAGATTTACCATTTCTGAATGCTACCCAGTGACTCAGCTACAAATTGTCTGTTTGTCCAATATCATTTGATATCTGAACATGGGTCATTAACATACAGATTCAAACTCTTACATTATTTGGTGGTTCTGTTCAATGAAGTAGTTGTGTGTTACTGCAGCTAGTGGTGCACTGTATAATGTATCATTACCTCAATGCAGAGAACACCTACACATACTGTGGAAAGAAACAACAGAAGATGGTGCTGAGTGTGGAGCAAGTCAAAGGTCACCCAAGCACCTTGACGCTTTGGGGAAGTAAGATTGCCTGGCACTCTCGGATTCAAAAGAAATTGGGTAAGAAAAGCACAGCATCTAAATTAGGGAGTGACAAACGAAGAATGTTGGACACTGTATGGAATCAGGGAGGATTTAGATAGATAGTGTGTGCAAGAAATTACCAAAGTTCAATGATTGGAAGTGTCTGTAAGGAGTGACTGAGGGAGAATGATAGACTGTGTTTAAGGAGTAACAGAGGGAAATTAGTGGAGTGTGTGTGTTTGGAGTGACAGAGGGAAGTTCATTAAGGCTTTCTCAGGTGTAATTAGGGATGGATCTGTGAATGGACTCCACGTAATGAAGGACAGTTTTGGTAAGGAGTGATGAATAGTCAATAAGTGCTGCTGTGTAAAGATCATTAATAGAGAGCCTATTTTCCTTCCCAATTTTCTTCCAATAATTCTGAAGCTGCTGTTTCTTGTTTGTTAAATCAAAATACTGAGAGTTATCAAACCATTTAACTAAGAGGCGAGTGGCAAATGCACAGACTTGCTGAACCTTGTCCTCATAAAGTGTAACTGCAGAAACCACTGGCATTTGACCAAGTCCAGTATTCATGACTGAGTTTTCCAATCAATAAGCTGCACTAACTAACCCAGGCACAGATCAATTAACTCATTGCAGACTGGACATTGTCCCTTTGATTTCCAGTTCTGGTTGAAAGTGCTACATTTCTACTGTCACTATCCAGTTAATGTGTTAGCTTCTATTTACCATTGTATTGATTGTTATTATCAATGCTGCATTCCCTGGTATTTCAGGTCATGTTTGGGACTTCCAAAATCTGCTTGTCTTTCAAAATTCTATCACTGGAGACCTAGAACTGCACACCACACCTTGGTCATCCTGCGAGTGCCTGTTTGATGATGATGCAAGAGCCATTGCATTCAGGAACAAATACCAATCCAGTGAGGCAGCATCTATTAAAGTAATGGACCTTTCCACCCTGCTACACTCCAGGTATTCAGGTGCGTACATAGCCATTTAATGGACGACAGTATCGTAACCAAGGGTCACTGAATGACAACTTTTGGTTAAGAGTGAGGTTAAACATTTTTTAAATGACAATCATCACTCCAATTTTTCCCCCTACCTTGTTTCAGGCACCTTGTCTAACATAGCTCATTTTTGTGTGTAGGCGCATAACATGAATGTCAGTAAAACTCTCAATCCTCACCCTGGAGTTCTGACGAAAAGTATCTTGAATTTATGTACCATCTTTGACAGTGTCACAATGTCCCAAAGTATTTTACAGTGAATGAAATACTCTTGTATTGTAGAAAGCATTGCAGCCAATTTGCGCACAGTATTATTCAACTTAAAAGCAATAAAAATATCAGGAGTTAAAAGCTAGTCTAATAGGGTCATAGAGTCATACAGCATGGAAGCAGATCCTTAAATCCAACTCATCTGTGCCGACCAAGTTTCCCAAACTAAACTAGTCCCACTTGCCTGCGTTTGGCCAATATCCCTCTAAACCTTTCCTATTCATGTACCTATCCAAGTTTATTTTAAATGTTGTATCTATACCAGCATCTACCACTTCTTCTGGCAGTTCATTACACATAAGAACCACTCTCTGTGTGAAAAAGTTGCCGCTCAGATCCCTTTAAATCTTTCTCCTCTCAACTTAAAAATATGCTCCCTATTCTTGAACTCCCCCCACCCTAGAGAAAAGACTTTTGCTATTCACCTTATCTATGCCCCTCTTGGTTTTATAAACTTCTTAGGTCACCCCTCAACCTCCTACACTTCAGTGAAAAAAGTCCAACCTCTCCTTATAACTCAAACCCTCCAGTCCCAGAAACATCTTGGTAAATCTTCTCTGAACCCTCTCCAATTTAATAATATCCTTCCTAATGGTGATCATTTAACCATTTCAATTGTTGTAAATACCATATGGTTCACTAATGTCCTTTAGGAAACCAAATGTGCTATCCTTGCCATGTCTGACATACATATGACTCCAGATCCACTGAAATGTAGTTGACTTTTAACCGTCCAAGCCACTTAGTTCAAGGGCATTTGGGAATAGGCAGTAAATGCTGACCCAGTCAGCAATGCCCACATCCCATGAACGAATTAAGAAAAAATCTTGATTGTAAGCTGAACTCTACAGACCAATTAGCCTAACATTTATAATAGGGAAAATGTTAGAATCCATTATTAAGGAGACAATTAGTATGACACTTAGGAAATCATAATACAATCAGGCAGAGTTGGCATGGTTTTGTGAAAGGGAAACCATGTTTGACAAGTTTATTGGGGTCCTCTGAGAATACAATGAGCTGGATGGCTAAAGAGGAGACAGCAGATGTAGGACATCTGAATTTCTAAAAGGTACTACATGAATTGTTACGGTATAAGATAAGAGTTCATGGATAATCTGCATGCGATTTGGTACTGTGGATACAGGATTGGCTTACCAACAGGAAGCAGAGAGTAGGGATAAATGCTCCTTGACTTCTTGCTGGCTGCATGTTTTCATAACATCAATCTCATGCCCTTGTCTTTGCCAGTTTCCTTCCACCTTCTTTAAACATACAAATTAGGAGCATTCAGCCCTTCAGCCCTTCTGCTCTGCCACTCAGTAAGGTCATTGTTGATCTGCTGGTGTGTTTAATTTCACATACCCATTGACTCCTGATAACCTTGATTCCATTATCTAACAATCTGGCTCCTCTGCCTTAAAAATTTTCAGTAACTCCCACTTCTACCACCTTCAAAGATGGATTTCCAAAATATCTCAACTTTTAAATTTTTCCTCATATAAGTCCTTAAAAAGCAAACACTAATTTTAAAACTGCATCCCCTAGTCAGTTCTGAGGAAGGGTCACTGGACCCGAAACATTAACTGTGTTCTTCCTTCACAGATGCTGCCAGACCTGCTGAGCTTTTCGAGCAATTTCTGTTTTGTTTTCTGATTTACAGCATCTGCAGTTCTTTCATTTTTTTTATCCCCTAATCTATACTCACCCACAAGAGGAAATATTATTTCAATGTCCATTTCGTCAAGACAGTTCAGGATCTTAAATTTTTTAATCAAATCATCCCTCAACGTTCTAAACTCCAGTGAATACAAGCCCAGTCTGTCTAGCCTTTCTTCATGAAGTAATCTGCCAATTCCAAATATCAATCTAGTAAACTTGCTCGGAACAGTCTTGAACACATTTACATTCTACTCTAAATAAAAAGACCATACTGGACAGAATTATAGTTTCACCAAAACTCTGTATAACTGAAGGAGAACGTCCTTGCATTTATGTCCAATTCTTCTCAATAATAAAAAGAATAACATTCCATTGCCCTTCTTAATTGCTTGCTATTCATCACTGTAGTGTTTGTGACTCACACTAAAACACCTGGATGTCTTTATACCTAGGAACTTTATTGTTATTCTCCAATTAGGTAATATTCTGCTTTTTTATTCTTGCTGCCAAGGTGAACAACTTCACATTATACTCCATCAGCCAGATTTCTGCCTATTCAGTCAAGTTATCTACATTGGACTGCAGCATCCTTATGTCCTGTTTTCAACATATTTTCTAACCTATCTTGGTATCATCAGCAGATTTAGCTACCTTGCCTTCATTGATCTCATTTTTGTTATTGATACAAATTATAAGAAGTTGAGCTTAAGTACAGATAGCTGCGGACTCCACTCATCACATCCTGTCAATCAGAAAAAAAAAACACATTTTTGCATGCTGTCTGTTTTCTGTCAGTCAGCCAATCTTCATCCCATGTTAGTATGTTACCTACTACATCATGCTCTTCTACTTTGCACAGTGACTTTTTATATGCCTTTTGGAAATCCAATTATAGAATATCAGTGGGCTGTCCCATGTTTCAGAGATAGTAGGAACTGCAGATGCTGCAGAATCTGAGATAACAAGGTGTAGAGCTGGATGAACACAGCAGGTTAAGCAGCATCAGAAGAGCAGGAAAGCTGACATTTTGGGTCTGGACCCTTCTTCAGAAATGGGGGAGGGGAAGGGGATTCTGAAATAAATAAGGAGAGAGGGGGAGGTTGATAGAAGATGGATAAAGGAGGAGAGAGGTGGAGAGGAGACAGACAGGTCAAAGAGGTGGGGTGGAGCCAGCACGGTGAGTGCAGGTGGTGAGTTGGGGGTGGATAGGTCAGTCCAGGGAGGACGGACAGGTCAAGGGGGCAGGATGAGGCTGGTAGGTAGGAGATGGGGGTGGGGCTTGAGGTGGGAGGAGGGGATAAGTAGGAGGAAGGACAGGTTAGGGAGGCAGGGACAAGCTGGGCTGGTTTTGGGATGCGGTCGGGGGAAGGGAGATTTTGAAGCTTGTGAAGTCCACATTGATACCATTGGGCTGCAGTGTTCCCAAGCGAACAGGTGCTGTTCCTGCAACCTTCGGGTGGCATCGTTGTGGCACTGCAGGAGGCCCAGGATGGACATGTCGTCTCAGAAGTAGGAGGGGGAGTTGAAATGGTTCGTGACTGGGAGGTGCAGTTGTTTGTTGCGAACCGAGTGTAGGTGTTCCACAAAGCGGTCCCCAAGCCTCCACATGGTTTCCCCGATGTAGAGGAGACCACATCGGGAACAGCGGATACAATATACCACTTAGCAGATGTGCAGGTGAACATGTGTTTGATGTGGAAGGTCTTCTTGGGGCCTGGGATAGGGGTGAGGGGGGAGGTGTAGGGGCAGGTGTAGCACTTCCTGCGGTTGCAGGGAAAAGTGCAGGAGGTGGTGGGGCTGGTGGGGAGTGTGGAGCGGACGAGGGAGTCACGGAGAGAGTGGTGCCTCCAGAAAGCAGATAAGGGTGGGGAGGGAAAAATGTCTTTGGTAGTGGGGTCAGATTGCAGATGGTGGCTAAATTTGGATACCAAAATAGATACAAGCATGTTGGGATGAAGAGAGGTGGTTGCAAATGAATATAGGTAGGTTGAGTGGTCACCCTTTTAGGACGGAGATGAGTTTTTTTTCCTCCATTTGGATCTGTATCTCAGGAGAGAGTGGAGGCTGGATCATTCAAAATTTTTAAGGCAGAGGTAGATAAATTCTTGTGAGGCAGGAGTCTTAAAGGTTATTGGGAGTAGATAGAAATGTGGAATTCAGAATACAAACACATCAGTTATGATCTCATGCGGTAGAGCAGGCTTGAGTTTCCAAATGGTCTGCTACTATTTTGTATGTCCATATGTAATTTTGACACAGGATTTGCAACATTATCGGTGATATAGAATATTCCAAATATTCACAAATGTTTACGTGAAAACATTTCTCATCATCTCCATTTCAAATGATTTTTCTTTTGTCCTGAGATTGTGCCTCTTTGTTCTAGATTCCCCAGCTAGGAGAAACAACATCTCAGCATCTGTCAGGTCCCATCATAATTTGGAGTATTTCAATAAGATTACCTTTCACTTTTCTGAACACTAAAGAATATAGACCCAATTTATTCAGCTCCTTAGCACAGGACAACCAATTCATACAAGAGACCAATCTAATAAACCTTTGTTATGTTGTCTCCATTACAAGGCTATCCTTCCTGAGACACAAATATCCAAACTGCTATCAGTTTTTGAGAGCATATCTGGAATAAAGCTCCTTACAGCTGTGGCAAAACTTCTTTATTCTTGTGCATTGCACCCCTTGTCGTAAAAGCCAACATTCCATTTGCTTACTTTGCTCTACCCATATGCTAAATCTTTGTGTTTCTACCATGATAATATGTATGCTTCTCTGAACATTAACACACGTAAGTGTACACTTTCTAAAAAAATGTTCTGCTTTTCTATTCATGTGGTCAAAGTGGCCCTTCTCACATTATACTCCATCAACAAATGGACTTCATTGCCCATTCATTTAACCTGTCTTATCTTTTTGCAATTTCTTTGTGCCCTGTTTGCAGCTTGTATTTCCACCTAGATTTGGACAGTTAACAAACATAACTGTGTAGTCATAAATTTAGATTATAAATAGTTGAGACCCAGCATTGATCCTTGCAGCATTCCACAAATCACCTGAAAATGTTCCATTTATCCTTACGTTTTGTTTCTAATCTTTGAACTAATTCTGTCTCCATGCTAATCTATCACTCCCCAATCCAGGAACTCTTCTGTATTGATCTTTTATATGGCACCTTATTGAATGTCTTTTGAAAATCCTTGTAGATTACAAAGTTGGTTCTCCTTCATCTACTTTATCAAACAGGATTTCCCTTTTGTAAAACTACATTGATTTGTTCTAACCATGCTATGCTTTCCTAATTGTATTGTTAAGTTTTTCTCAATTGTAGATTCCAACATTTTCCTAATGGCTGATTATGATTCCAGGCTAGTTATCTCCACTACTTCTCTCTTTACAGGAAATGTTCAATTAAAGACCCATATAGTAGCAATGCAGTGGAATACCCATTCTACCCATATTCCCCTGTTCAAAATAGATGCGTTTACTCCAATGGAGGCAATCTTTGGCTCATTAATCCATTTTACATACTCTGGCTGTGGAAGCTGTGGCTCTGAACTGGAATTTGATGAAAATGGTATCTACCAGCAGTGTATTCCATGCCTACCAAATAGCACTGTGAAAATCTTTTACAGGTAAGAATTCTGTCAAAAGTCATCTCCAAAAGTTCCCACATCACATTAGAACATAGTAGCCGTAATAAAAGATAAATGGGAAAGTGTGTTGCAAAGCACTAAATTGGGGATGCATAAATTCAAAACCTACAAGAAGAAGCAGCACGGATTATTGTGAACAATGTATATTAGGCCATCTAAAGCTAGACCATGAGGATAAACTAATAATACATTCAAGAAGAATTTATTTCCTCAGTATTGGGAATACATACCCCTTAAAAATACCTATGTGAAGGAGGCTGGAAGAAATGGAAGGATTTGGATAATTTCTCAGATTTCCTCCAATAGAAAGTAGTGCATTGTAGTTCACTGACTTTACAAAAGGTTAGATGACTTCATGGAGAGAAAGCAAGCAAACTTTTAAGAGAGATAAGAAATGGTTATTTTGCTAGGCAAACTGGTTAGAAGGGGCTTTGTGCTGAAGAATGCCTAGAGGACTGGGGTTGCTGGTTTTCCAGTGTCAGGGAATCTGGTACGGCCAAATAGGAATTCTAACTGACTTTGATGTGGACTCAAGTCTGATTTGGTGATCTCATCAGTCCTACTGCTGTTAGCATTTCAATCTCATTGACAAGAAATGGATGTACTGTGAGAAATTTTCCCATTCTTTTCTTTTCAAGTTTGGGCTCCTGGACCACTGAGTGTTTTCCCTTTTCATTTCTCATGAAACCTATATCATTTCGGCAGAGCTGAATCATCTTTCCATTCATATGAATGTATGTGTTTGGTTTCGTACAATCATACAGTACGGAAGACCCACTGAATCTGCACTGCCAAAGCTACTCCAAAGGGATTAAGGGGTTGTACTTTAATTCCACACGGGAGCTCAGTTGTTACCATTTACTGTAAGAGTAAGCTTGCTTCCATAAATGAGTTTCTTTTGAGTTAACTACAGAGGCTTGTGGACATTTATTTTAATCTGAATAATAATGCAAAAGAGAAACAAGTTAACCATTTTGATGACCGAATAAAATATTTACACTTGATACAATATGGTTGATGAAGCACTTGGGCTTGTTTATCTGAGCACCCCTTCCATTAGAGTTGTGGGAATGTGAAATTTCCTACCATGTAGAGTAGTTGTGATGAATAAGAGAGATACACTTAACGAAAAGCAAGATAAATATATCTTGATAAATATATAAATATATGAAGAAAAATATCTGATGCAGTGAGAGGAGTCTTGTTTGGACTGGCATAATAAACTTTGGCGAAGATCTATGAGGCCAAATGGTCTGTTCATGTATTGTAATTTACTTATAGTTCTATTTATTGTGGCAACCAAGGTTCTTCATATTTCTTCATTCTGTTTAAAATTGCTGTTTGCAGAAATGGTGAGATAATTGGACGAAAAGTGAGTCTTTTGAAATAGTCCTGCCGTAAACCAGCAAGTTTGTGCTGAATTATCTGGAAATCAGGTCAATTACATCAGAATTCTCCATGGCCTGGTGAGGACCAGAACCTCCAATTATCCATCAATAGACCAGTGGTATTTGAAGAGATGGGCATTTATAATGTCATAGGTTGCCATATTCCAAACGTGGCCAGATTGACTTACGATTGCTGACTAGGATGTCTAGTGAAACCCTGCCTGTTAGTGCAAAGGAACTGTTTGGGAATCTAGGCCATTGAAACTCTGGCATATTCCAATGTACTCATTCCCAGCCTCTCGATTCACATCCTGAAGGGCTCCTATTTTGTTTTGATGTAGTAGGCTGATAATTTCCAAAAAAATTTGAATTCTTAGTGACTGATTTAAAGGAATCACACAAGAAGATTTCAGTTTTCAGATATTCAAAGAAAAAGTAATATCAACTAATCTTTACTTGCAAAGCAAGTAAGGTTATAAACTACAGAAAGATTACCCACATTAATGTCTGAAAATAATCAGTAATTCGTGTGTGTATATATTTTATAGTACATTTTCTCCAGCTCTCTATAGTTTCATGCCCCCAGTTTTTCCAAGTCATAATATCCAGCAACTTCAAAGACCCTCTCCCTCAGTCCTCTGAAAATTTCCAAGCTGGCTTTCAGCTGTATGGCCTACTCCAGTTATTTTTTCTCCCAGCCTCACCAAGCTTCCAGAATCCTTAAATTGTTGTGGATTCCTTGTATTCAACCAGTGGACAAGCTTTCTCCAGAATTCTACCCAATAGCTAATAGAGAAAACATTTTTTTGCCTCTGCAGATTTCACCATCTGCTGTTCTTTCTCTGTGTTTCTGTCTCTGTATCCATGTGCAAAGTCTCTAAAACAAAAAGTGTGCTTCTGCCTTTGTTTTCACATATTAAAATCTGGTATTTTGGTAACATATGACCTGAGTACCCAATCCCAGTGCCAACAAAACCATATAATATTCTTGTCTCTTCACATGCCTCTTCATTACATCATTTTACCTCGAGTTAAAGATACAGTCCAAAACACATTCATCTTGTATAACCACAGACTGTTACATTAGATTGTACTGATAGTTACCAAAGTCAACAGTGCACTTAGCCAGAAGAGATATCAGAAGACCCAGGCACATTGCCAGTCAGTCAGCAGGAAACAATAAGATGGCTTGAACTGTCAACTTGACATTATGTGGATGTTGACTTGCTTGCTGAGCTGGTAGGTTTGTTGCAGACGTTTCATCACCATACTAGGTAACATCATCAATGGGCCTCCAGTGAAGTGTCGGTGTTCTGTCCTTTGTGTATCTTGGTTTGCTGGGTTGGGTGGCATCATTTCTGGATTTGTTTCTTGGTCGGTGGTAAATGGGGTCCAGCTCTACATGTTTGTTAATGGAGCTCCAGTTTGAGAGCCAGGCTTCCAAGAATTCTCATGCGTGTCTTTGGTTGGCTTGTCCTGAGATGGCTACGTTGTCCCAGTTGAATTGGTGTCCCTCTTTGTACATGTGTATTGAAATGAGTGATAGTTGGTCATGTGTCTTGATAGCTAGTTGGTGTTCATGAATCCTGATGGCTAGTTTCCTTCCAGTAGCCATCAGAATTCATGCAAAGAGGGACACCAATTCGACTGGAACAGCGTAGCCACCTTAGGACAAGCCAACCAAAGACATGCACGAGAATTCTTGGAGGCCTGGCACTCAAACTGGAACTCCATTAACAAACGTGTAGAGCTGGACCCCATTTACCAACCACCAAGAAACAAATCCGGAAGTGATGCCACCCACCCCAGCAAACTGAGACACATAAATAACAAGCAGGACAGAACATAGATGCTTCACCGGAGGCATGCTGATGATGTTACCTAGTATGGTAACAAAACGTCTGCAAACAAACTTAGCAGCTCGGTGAGTGAGTCAACAACCGCATCAACAACTTGAGCTACAAATCTTCTCAAAAACCTTGACATTATATTTTCTTTATGTTCTTCCAGGCCCACAGTACTTGTGCTAACAGACCAAGATTACCAGATTGATGTTCTTATCTCATCCAAACTCATGGAGAAGATATTTCTCAATATTCCTCCTGCTTCGCTAAGCAAACTCATAGGTAACTGATCCCAGCTTGTATCTTAAGAAAAGGCTATATACGATAATAGGAGGAAAATGAGATAGAGAGACAGTTATATTTAGCAAGGGGATTCATGACCTTAAACCTTGGTAGCCAAAGGCATGGCCAATCAGAAGCATTTAAAATCAGAAATGCTCAAGAGGCCAGAATTGGACAAGGTCAGATGTCTAAGAGTGTTGAATAGCTGGTATTTGTTATACAGCTAGGGAGAAAAGTGAGGCTATGAAGGAATCTGGAAGGAAAAAGATGGCAAATTTTGAAATTGAGACATTACTTAGCAGGGAGCCAATATTAGTTTAAGGGGAGGTGATAGCCTAGTAATATTATTACTGGACTTGTAATCCAGAAACTCAACTAATGTTCTGGCACCCAGGTTCAAATCCTGCCATAGCAGATGGTGGAATTTGAATTCAGTAAAAAAGTTTGGAATTAAGAATCAACTGATGACCATGAAACCACTAATCAATTGTCAGGAAAACCTGCCTGGCTCTCGAATGCACGTCAGAGAAGGAAATCTGCCATTCTCACCTGGTATGGTCTACATGTGATTCCAGACAATGTAGGTGACTCGCAAGTACCTTCTGAAATGGCCAAGCAAGCCATTCAGTTGTACCAATCGTAACAAAGTCTCAACAAAGAAGTGAAACCGGATAGACCATCTGGCATCAACCTAGGCACCGGAAAAGACAATGGCAGAAACAACCCCGAACACCCTGCAAAGTCCTTACTAATATCTGGGGCTAGTGTCCAATTTGGGACAGCTGTCTCACAGACTGGTCAAGCAACAGCCTGACACAGTCATACTCATGGAATCATACCTTACCGATAATGTCCCAGACACCATCATCACCATCCCTGGATATGTCCTGTTCCACTGGCAGGGCAGACCCAGTAGAGGTGACAACACAGTAGTACATAGTCAGAAGGGAGTTGCCCTATGAGTCCTCAACATTGACGCTGGACCTCTTGAAGTCACATGCCTTCAGATTAAACCTGGGCAAGGAAACCTCCTGCTGATTAGCATGTACCTTTCTCCGTCGGCTTATGAATCAGTACTTCTCCGTGTTAAAACAACACTTGGAGGAAGGGGTGGCAAGGATGCAAAACGTATTCTGGGTGGGGGCTTTCAGTGTCCACCATCAAAAGTGGTTTGGCAGCAGCCCTAATGATCAATCTGGTCACATCCTAAAGGACATAGTTGCTAGAGTGGATTTGCAGCAGGGTGTGAGGGAACTAACAAGAGGGGAAAACATAATTGACCTCATTCTTACCAATCTGCCAGCTGCAGATGCATCTGTCGGAGACAGTATTGGTTAGAGTGACCAGCATACAGTCCTTTTGGAGACTGTTGTGTATGTAAATTGGATGCTGCCCCTTTAAGAGGACTGGTCAGGTGACTCGCAGGGTGAAGCCAGGGGCTCAGTCTAGAGCCGGTTGTGAAGGTGTCAGCATCTAAAAAGTGTTCCTATTCACAGTTTCACCTGTGCCTACCTGATTTGGAATTTCAACTTAAAGAGAAAGTAATCAACATAACAGAGGCAAAGCCCTGTCTTCATATTGGGAATACCATCAATCGTGTTGTGTGGCACTATCACTGTGCTAACCGGGACAGACTTAAATTGAATGAGCAACTCAAGACTGGGCATCCCCGATTGTGCTCCGGCACAGTCTGCAGCCTCACATCTCAGCATATTCCCCATTAAACCACTCCCATAAAGCCAGGGGATCAACCCTGGTTCAATGGAGAGTGCAGGAAGGTGTGCCAGGAGCAGCAGCAGGCATACCTAAAAGTATCGTGTCAACCTGGTGAAGCCGTCATGGAGGACTATTTGTGTGCCAAACAGCATAAGCAGCAAGTGATAGACAGAGTTAAGCAATCCCAAAACCAACAGATCAGATCTAAGCTGTGCAGTCCTGCCATATCCAGTCATGAATGTTGGTGGATAATTAAACAACTTGCTGGAGGAAGAGCCTCCACAAATATCCCTATCCTCAACGATGGAAGAGCCCAGCACATCAGATAAGGCTGAAACATTCACAGCAATCTTCAGCCAGAAGTGCTGAGTGGATGATTCATCTTGGCCTCCTCCAGTAGTCCCCAGCATCACAGATACCAGTCTTCAGCCAATATCATTCCATGTGATATCAAGAAACAATTGGAGGTGCTGGATATTGCAAAGGCTATGGGCCCTGACAATATTCCGGCAATAGTATTGAAGACTTATGCTCCAGAACTTGCAGCTCCCCTAGCCAAACTGTTCCAGTACAGTTACAACACTGGCATCTACTCAACAACGTGGAACATTGCCCAGGTATGTCTGTACACAGAAACAGGACAAATCTAACCCATCAGTCTACTCTTGATCAAAAGTGAAGTGATGGAAGGTGTCATTAACAGTGCTATCAAGCAGCACCTGCTCGGCAATAGCCTGCTCTGTCACTGTTTAGCCAGTTTGCGTCACTCAGCTCCTGACTTCGTTACAGCCTTGGCTCAAACATGGACAAAAGAGCTGAATTCCAAAGGTGAGGTGGCAGTGACAGCACTTGACGTCAAGGCCACATTCAACTGAGTGTGGCATCAAAGAGCCCCAACAAAACAGGGAATCAAGGACCAAACTCCCTGTTGATTGGAGTCATACCTGACACATATGTTAGATGGTCGTGGTTGTTGGAGGTCTGTCATCTCAGCTCCAGGACATCTCTGCAGGAGTTCCTTGGAATAGCCTCCTAGGTCCAACCAGCTTCAGCTGCTTCCCTCAATGACCTTCCCTCTGCCATGAGGTCAGAAATGGGGATGTTTACTGATGATCTTGCAATGTTCAGCATCATTCGTAACTCCTCAGATACTGAATAATCCATGTTCAAATGCAACAAGATCTGTAAAATATCCAGGCTTGGGCTGACAAGTAGCAGTAATAATATTCACACCACAAAAGCCACACAATGACCATTTCCGGTACGAGTGAAGGAATGATTTTATTGTCATGTGTATTTTACAGTAAGAATACAATAAAATATAGTGAAAAGCTTTCATTTGTCGCCACGATTTGGTGCCATTTTGAACAACTTAAGGATAAGAGGGCATAGCCTCAAGATTAGAGGGAGCAGATTTAGGACTGAACTGAGAAGGAATTTCTTCACCCAGAGGATTGTTAATCTGTGGAAGTCCTTGCCCAGTGAAGTCGTTGACGCTACTTCAGTAAACGCTTTTAAAAAAAAGGTAGATTTTTTTTGAACAATAAAGGAATTAAGGGATACGATGAGAACGCGGGTAAGTGGATCTGAGTCCACGAAAGGATCAGCCATGATTTTATTGAATGGCGGAGCAGGCTCGAAGGGCCAGACGGCCTACTCCTGCTCCTAGTTCTTACGTTCTAAAAGAAAAAAAGATATAGTTTAAAGAGAGTCTGTCAGTCCTGATCCAGCTTATCAACAGCAACAACGCCTGTGCAACCAGTTCGCCACCATCTAGACCAGACCCAACCAGCGTCGAAGTCACCGATCCTCAAATGTCATCTTTTGCTGCTGGGCCGATACTCTTCTGCCTCACCTCTGCCTGTGCCGGACCAACCAACGTCAGAGTCGTGTCTCTCGCCTCGAGGGCTACCTCATCAATGTCGCTGTAATGCCTTTGACATTCAATAGAGTTACCATTACTGAATCCCCCACTATCAACATCCTTGGGATTTCCATTAACCAGAGACTCAATTGGACTCATCATAGTGACACAGTGGCAACAAGAGTAGGTCAGAGGCTAGGAATGTTGCAGCGAGTAACTCCCCAAAGCGTGTACATCACCTACAAGGCACAAGTTAGGAGTGTGATGGAATACGCCCCACTTGCCTGGATGGGGGCATCTCCAGCAACACTCCAGAAGCTTGACACCATCCAGGACAAAGCAGCCCACTTGATTGGCACCACTTCCATAAACATCCACTCCCTCCACCACCAATGTTCAGTAGCAGCAGTGTGCGCCATCTACAAGATGCACTGCAGAAATTCATCAAAGATCCTTAGACAATGCCTTCAAAACCCATGATCAGTTCCATCTAAAAGGACAAGGGCAGCAGATGCATGGGAACACCAACCCCTGCAAGTTCCTCTTCAAGCCACTGACCATCCTGACTTGGAAATATATCACCATTCCTTCAGTGTCTCTGGGTCAGAATCAACCTACAGCATGTGGACTGCAGCAGTTCAAGAAGGCAGCTCACCACTGCCTTCTCAAGGGCAACTAGGGATGGGCAATAAATGCTGACCCAGCCAATGATGCCCACGGCCCCCAAATGAATCAAAAAATAGGTAAGCACACACAAGACCAATATATGAACAGGGCTGCTTGCAATAACGTTGTATTCACGTAAGGCATGGAACATAATAAAGTGTCCCAAGGTGCATCACAGAAGGTTTAATTTAAAAAGTGACACTGAGCCACATAAGGTGATATTAAGTGACCAATACCTTGGCAAAAAAGGTCATTTTTAAGGTGTTTAAAGGGGGAACCTGAGGTAGAGAGGCTGAGAGGTGTGGAGAGAATTGCAGAGCTTGGGACCTAGATAACTGAAGGCAAGGCCACAAATACTGGAATGATTAAAATTGGGGATGCTTAACAATCCAGAATTAGCAGCAAGTGGCTATCTCGGAGAGTTTGGGACTCGGAAGTTATAAAGTTAGGGATGGATGAGAGCATGAGGGGTTTGAAAACCAGGGTAAGAATTTTAAATCAGAGTTGTGTAAGCTGGATCCGCTGAATACAGGGATGATTGGTGAATGGCACATTGAGAGAGTAAGCATACAGCCTGGAGAATTTAAATAATGTCAAGATTGCAGAGTGGAACGTGGGGGCCACTATAAAACATCTCACCTAGTCAAGGCCAGAGGTAATAGAAGATGAAGGTTTCCTCAACAAGGAACTGAAGAGTAGAGTCTGGTAATACTATAGTTCTGGAAGTAGGCAATATTATTGATGATGCAGATATAAAATTGAAAGCTCATATTGTGTCTAAGCATGAGACCAGCGTTACTTGGAAATAGGAAATCAAAAGTATGAAGTGATATTCTAATCCAAACGAAATTCATTCCTTTAATTTTTCCAATGTCATAGATCAGATTTTGAAAGCTCAAAGAATCAGTTGGATCTATTGCCCAGTGTTCTAAAACCTAAACAGGTTCAAGTCAAGCCAGAATAACCAAACTCTATCACTGGGACCTCCATAGAATAAATTCCTTATGAAGCACTGCTGCATCTCTTCTCCAGACTAAGTAGCAGACTAATCATTTTAAATTAAGCAAATGAGGAGGTGATTTCTTGGCATCATGGATTTGCATTCACTAAATAAGATTTGACCAGTGTTCATCAGTGGTATTAAAGCTAAGATTATTTGTTGCTCCAGAGGTGGGTCAACAGAGCTGCTGCATTAAATAGATAATTAATTGTTCTGTTCCACATATTAAAATGAAAAATGTCTGGATCACTCTGTTTGAGAGATTAGACATTAAAGTGATGTGTTTGTGTGTTGCAGGTCCATCTGATAATGTGACGTATGGGATGGTAATAGCAGATTTGTGCTATTCATTGTTTGCAGACCCTGCTGACTGTTACAGACTGACTTTGCAAAGCCAGTTTCATCTGGATGAAAATAGCATCACCATGAAACTGGAATTCTATTTGTTGGATTTCTGCCCTGACCATTAACCTCTAACCTTGTTAGAAACTGCAAGGTGAATTTATCAATCCCAAGACTCCCAGGCATGGTTGGGGCTGCTGTGTATCAGGTGAGGTTGATGTAGGGGGATGTTATTTATTATTTTTCATTCTCAGGACATGAACATCATTGGCAAAACCAGCATTTATTTCTCATCCATAGTTTCTCTTGAAAAGGTGATGGTGGCCTTGAAACTCTACAATTCGAGATGAAGGTCCTCCTGTAGTGCAAATTGAGATGCTTTGTAACTTGAAGGGGAACTTGGAGGTGATGGTTTTCCCATGAATTTCCTGCCATTTATCCTTGTAGGAGCTCACAGGTTCTGAAGTTGCTGCAGAAAAGGCCTTGGTGGCTTTACTGTATGCATCCTATAGATAGGGCACAGTGTGCTGGTAATGGTAAGTGGATCACGATTAAGAGAGTAAGTGCTACAACATCACAGGTTCGAGAAAAGTTCCAAGCTTGATGATGAGTCTACCCTTAATGCTTGAGATATCAGAACATAAAAGGGTGTGTTGGCTCTCACAGATTTCTATAATTGCAGAGATGCCACAATGTGGAAGTAGTAAGGGCACTGTGGAAGGCGAACCTGCTGCATTTTCCTCAGGATAAGAGCAGTCATGCTCCCAACATTATCACTTTGTCAGCCAGCCCAAACTTTGCCATCCATGCCATGGTGTTGCGCGCTTAAACTGGGTCATCATGCCCAGAGTTGCTCAATGACAGGCAAGGGCATCTTGAAATTGGCACAAAAGAGAATGCATAAGGGTGTATAATTCATTGTTGTTTGTACAGTTGGATATATTCTTTGATAAAGATTTTATGTGAAGGCTTTTGTTATTGTTTTTTATTGATGGATTGTGGCCAAGGAGACGCTATGAGTGGACTTCTGGATGGATGTGCAGCCACTTGAACAGGTAGATCCAAAACAATCAGGAGAGGTTGTCTCAGTGCCTCTGTGTTTGCTCTGCATTACCACATCCATCAGAACCTCCAGGTCTCAGCTGACAAAGTGAGGTGACAATTTCCCTTCTCTGCAATTTCAAGAACAAATGTCAGTCACCATGCAGGGCAGCTCCAAGCTGACAGTGCTTCTGCAGGTGCACAGTGGCCTTTTAAAGATGACTCCTGCACCAGGGATAATGATCAGTTCTGGGATATCCTGGCAGTGGCAAGTTCTTCTGGCATGACAAGTGGGACAATTAGGCTAGCATTAGACAAGAAGGATGCCATAGGGGTGGGATAAGTAGCTAATGAGATGAGTTCAGAACGATATGGCAAGGAATCTCTGATCGTCGCAGTTAGAAATGCCTCAGGGAAACTTGACAAAACTGACACAGCAAAATAGGACAAGATTCAGCTCATGGAAACTATAGCCATCCACCATGGCAATACAAAATAGGAAAGCTGGTATAATTATTTTCAGAAAGAAGCAACAGGCATTACTACTTTAGCAATGAGTTTGTTCATTGAGATGCTGCTATTAAATATAGCAATTGTTAACTCATTGGACTATGTTCCATCAAAGTCTAATTCATCAGAAATTGACCTCATATCTCCCACATATCATAATGACAATGTTGCCAGCCAGTTGTAATTGCATAATTCTCCAGCCAATCAAGCCTGGAGGTGCCAGTGGTTATCGGGATTAATTTTACTTCCTTAATTTGTACATACTTATGTGGCACTAAACACATGCTATGGGACAAATAACCTAATGCTGCAATTAAGTAAATATTTACGCAGAAGAAGTTAAGCTACTAAATAGCTGGTCTAACTCCTGAGTAGCTTTTAAAGTGACCTCTAAATAACTTCACCCAACAAATACATCTTCCTCACACACAACACCCCCTCCGTTGCCCTGGAGCCTGGCCCCGTCTTCCCTCATTGCTGAGCAAGATCCTTTCCCCACTCAGACTCAAAGCATTTCCTTCAGCCACATCAAACCAGAATCCCCTTCTCCCACTTTGGAGCTGATGACCTTCTTCCCAGCTCCAAACATAATCCCCACTTCCCTGCTGCCAGACCTGATAGCTCCAGCCCCAACTCTAGTTCCTCCAGGACCTGATACCACATAATCCCCTCTCCCTTGCTGGGCCCAATATCTTCCATCCATGTTGATTCACCCTCATCATTCCATCACTTACCTGGCCATATTGCCACCTTGTGCCCTGGCACCCTTCCCATCTGGCTGCTCCTGGCACTCTACCTCTACCCATTTGGCACCCTACAAACCTGGCACCTTACCCCAACCCACCTGGAAAGCTATTTGCTTGTCATCCTACCCCATTACCACTGGCTCCCTACCCTTGCAGCACCCTAACCTCACACTCATCTTACACACTTACCATTTGAAAACAGCTGTCAGTGGCAGTTTGGGATTCTGGACCAATATATTGGCTGGTTTGTCTCCTGTAACAATCTTTACTACAGAAGACTTGTCAGAATGGAAATACAGCTGCGCATTTCTGCAAAAGCCCTGATCAGAATATTGTCAGAAATGCAAAGTTCTTTTGTGGTATAAAAATGGAACAGAGTCAATCCTTGGAGAGTCTGACCCAATTTCGAATGTAACTAACAATTACAGTTACAGTCAGTTCTGTTTTCTATCCTTCATAGATACTCTTTATAGGTAGATTTTGTAGACTGTCTAATGTAGTGCAGAATTTAAACAGACTGATGCTGAGTAAATAGACCTTGCTTGTTGTAAAATACACTATTCACTGTGCATTCTACAATAAGTCCCAGCCATCTCCATCTCTTTGACTAACACAGTGGTATCAGTAGACTTTCTGAGTAAGGTTTAGAAGACAAAGTTACCAGTCATCGTTCCTTTGATCATTCCCATGACAATACCACAATCTCTTCTCACTACTTTGCCTCCTTAGTCAAGGCTAAAACAATACATCCCTCTTCTGATGTCTCACTGGGTCATAGTGCCACAGTTATCATTTAGCTTCAATATCTGACCCCAGTGATTAAATTCATTTGAGAGTCTGGACAATGGCTGTTGGAAAAACGTTGGCCACAAGGGGGCATAATACTGTTCATCTCACTGTCAATGTAAAAAATTAAGTAAGGTCTTTTCACTGTTTCCCTTTGGTGTCATTGTGTGTTTTGTGCATCCTACATTATAAATTTGCACTCCTTATTTGTAAATTTTTGATCTCCTTACTTGACAAAGAATGCACTGGCACTGAAGGGTGTGCAGAGGAGGTTCACTAGGTTGTTTTGAAATTGAGAGGATTGGCTTATGAGAAGTGATTGAGTAGACTGGGACTATACTTATTGAAATTTAGAAGAATGAGTTGGGGAATCTTATATAAAATTATGAAGGAAATAGATAAGATAGAAGCAGGGAGGTTGTTTCCACTGGCAGGCGAAACCAGAACTAGGGGGCATAGCCTCAAAATAAGGGGGAGCAGATTTAGGACTGAGTTGAGGAGGAACTTTTTCACCCAAAGGGTTGTGAATCTGTGGAATTCCCTGCCCAGTGAAGCAATTGAGGCTACCTCATTGAATGTTTTTAATGCAAAGATAGATTTTTGAACAGTAAAAGAATTAAGGGTTACGGTGAGCGGGCAGGTAAGTGGAGCTAGAGTCCACGAATAGATCAGCTATGACCTTATTGAATGACGGAGCAGACTCAATGGCCAGATGGCCTACTCCTGCTCCTTCTTATGTTCTTATGTTCTCATTACTGGGAGGATTAGGTGAGGCAGAATGCTAGGGTGTCATTGAGTGGATGTCAGTGTAAAGCTCTTGGATTTGAGGTGGTCCTTCTCTGGATCAAGAGAAAATCTCTGGTCTCTCTTAAATATTGTGGAGAGACAGAAAGTTGGATAATTTATGGTGATTTTGTAAAAGGCTTCAACACAAACTCCATCTACCACCAAATAAAAGCCAAAAGAACTGCGGATGCTGTAAATCAGGAACAAAAACAAAGTTGCTGGAAAAGCTCAGCAGGTCTGGCAGCACCTGTGAAAGAAAAAACAGAGTTAACGTTTCGGGTCCGGTGACCCTTCCTCAGAACATTCTGAGGAAGGGTCACCAGACGCTAAACGTTAACTCTGTTTTTTCCTTCACAGGTGCTGCCAGACCTGCTGAGCTTTTCCAGCAACTTTGTTTTTGTTCCATCTACCACCAGTTTATTGTGGTATCAGTGTACACCATGTGCACCAAATCTCTGAGGCTTCCTCAGCAGCCTTTCACAAATCTAGGACTCACCACCTCAAGGGCAGCAGATGCATTAGAATACCATCAACTTAAACTTCCCCTCAGAATCACTTACCATCCCATCTTGAACCTGAATATCACCATTCCATTATTAACACTGAGCTTAACGTTTGGAACTACCCACTTCTGTGAATGTGATGTCAACACACAAACTGTCCCAGCTCAAAAAAAAAGGCCAACACAACACCTTTCTCAAGAGTTGGGCAATAGCTGCTGAATTTCTGGGGCTTTTTATAACTTCGACATTACCGTGGCACTGAGCTAATGAATTACTTTCAAATGACGGTCAAAGTTGTAATGCAGGAATTTTAGCACAGCCAGACCATACAATCTACAAAGTGATCATGTTTTATGTCATGGAATATGTTACATCTCCTTGAGAGGTCAGAGAAATTCTAATATTTTTTCTAAAAGATATCTTTAATAGCACAGCTTTCACTCAGTAGTGCACTGGGAGTGCAAGCCTTGACTACGAATTCAGGTATTTAGCATAGGCCTATAATCTGGTAGAAATCCTGCTTCTGCTTATCTGCTGCTGAACCTTTTCTTTTCTTACCTCCGGACTTGATTACTTCAATGCTCTTGCATATTCCACCGTCCATAGATGTGCGCTCATTCAGAACTCTGCTGCCCATATTCTAACTTGCTCCAGTCCCATTTATCTGCTGTCCCTGTACTCACTGGCTTCAATTGGCTCCTAGTCCAGAAACACTGACTTAAAAATTCTCTTCAGTTCTCTTCTGGTAGTCCCTTGAAATGAGCAGACACTGCTACAAAGCTCACAGCAAGAACCTGCCTTCAGTGGAGGCTTCTTGCTGCAGCTATCACACCATTCTGGCTGAGTGGAGATCTCTGTCATATGCATATCAGAAGGATTTCCAAGTTGTCAGTCAACCTGGGAGTCCATGAACTGCCACAGTCTGCGGTTATAAAGGGACTGCTGCTTGCAACACCCTCCATTAGGGACCTGGGGTGGAAAGTGGGAGGACTCCCACGTAGAGAGCCCTCCACTGGGTATCCCCATCGCTCAACAGCAAATAAGCATGTCAAGGCTTGTCTGGGTAAAATATTATCTTTATCCTCAGCCCCAGTGTTGGCAGCACCTGGTGTCCTATTCTCACTTCCTTCCCTACTGTAGCATCAGAATTTAATCAGAACCAAAATAATAGCAGAACTGTCCAAAACATCTATGAAGGACTGCGAAATAACGCCAGAGACTGGTATCCCATCACCAAGTCACCTTTTATTTCCACATGCATTGTACTTGACACTGGTCTGGCTTCCTCAGAGCCAGCTCTGAGGGAACAAGGTGTCTGACCCTCCTGTTTATATCTGTCAGCCAGGGCTCCCTGATTGGACCAGGGTAACCTGGTTGTAGACCTGTTCTTTGTCTTGTAGCCTCTCGTAGGGCGTTTTCACACCAGATCCGGTTTCTCTGGCTCAGCCTCCGATATGGGTGGCGTGTAGCCTGCCTCTTGCACCCAGAGCGTCTTGGAACAAATTCATCCTCTTCTTCACGTGATAAAAGGTATCGAGGCTATGACATCCACCGTGATCATCTCAGACTCTAATGTTTGTTTGACG